ATTCAGTTGTCGCTCTCTGGAACAAGATAGATCTTTTGCCTTTGTTATCCACTGAGACCTGGGTAGCAGAGAGGAAGTAGGCAGAAATGGCCATAACAAAGGACTGAGGACTGAATGGCTTAAGCAACGTGTATTTTCTGACAGTTCTGGAGACTAGAATTTGAAGTCAAGGTGTTGGCGGATTTGGTTTCTTCTGGAGACCTCTCTCTTTGGCTTGCAGATGGCTGCCTATTCTTTGTGTCTTCACATTGTCCTCCCTCTGTGCCTGTCTGTGTCCTAATCTTTTCCTCTTACAAGGACACCAGTCCTTAACCCGTGTCTTTAAATACCTTGTCTTCAAACACATTCTGAGGTACTGGGGGTTAGGAATTCAATGTGTGAATTTGGGAGAGTGTGGACACAATTCAGCCTCTAACAAGGACCGAGCTCTGGGTTTTGTATTTAAGCACCCAGTTACTATTACTATAGATATTGACTAGAAAGGAGAATATTCTCACTCTTTTATTCACTAGAGACAGAGGCATGGCTCTCAGATTGCAAATGGTGTGAGCTATGAGAGGAGCAAAGTTGGATGCCCAAATTAGACCTGGCGAGGTGGCATTGCCAACGTTCTCACTAGAGCCCAGGATAGCCTTGTCATGGGGTGCCCTGTAGTCTGCATGACTTCTGGAAGGAGATGGAGTCTTGTCTACCCCATCCATGAAGGCTGTGACCAGCTCACTAATAAACTGAACTCGCTTTTTTCCACACACCTGACTTCTGATGCACCACATCATCCCTGAGATAATCGTAGGAGAGAGAACGGCCTCTCTGCTCTGGGCTGGCTTAAGCGTCAGGCATAGATGCATGTACAGTGACCATTTTGCCCAGAGATATTTTCCAGACATTACTGTTTATCTATAAGCACTCATTTAGTGTGCACTTCATCATGTTTCGCTGACGACCTCACTCCTTCCTAGATGTATTCTGTCCTTATTGCCAGAGTTGCGGAGGGGGAACTGCTTTCTGCCAAAGGGAATGGCTCTGCCAGTTCTAGGGATGAACGCGAGACCCTGGGGCCTATGGCTTCTAGCTCTTCAAGTTTGAATGGAAATTTAAAGAATTTCCTAAAATAATTTACAATATGATTCTCCTAAGAATTATGGTTACCCCCGGCAGGGCTTCTGAACCTCAGCACTATAGACGTTTTGGACTAGATACTTCTTGGTTTTGTGATGGTTGTCCTATGTATTGTGGATGTTAGCAGCATCCCTGGCCTCTGCATACTAGATGCTGTAGCACCTCTGGTTGTGACAACCATGAATATTTCCATACAAATGTCCCCTATGGGAGGGACAAAATCGCCTGAGGGTGATCAGCACTACATTAATACATTATACAAATATCGTAGCTCTAATATTTCTGGAATATATCTAGTTTTGAAATAAATTACTGTCTGTTGTCAGTTTTTGTTCAAAACTTGTGCACTTTGCCACTCCCAGGATGGTTTGGATGTTATATCCACCTGCACTGCGGTGCACATCTTTCTCAGTTTAGTCTTTCTTCCTCCAGCTACCCCTTAGCTGAACAGATGCAAAGCATGGAACGCCTTGCAGTAGAAAGATCGCAAACATCACTTTCTTTTCTCTATTCTGCTGTCCTTCCTTACTCCACCAGTTCCTCAGTTTGTAATAAATTTTCTAACACGGTGGTAATTCTGTAATACTTGCCTTGGGGTTTTGAGTTAATTGTATCCTAGCAATTGACCTTTTTCTCACTCTTTTAATAGACCTTGCTAATGTCAAACTGACGAGAAGGCATGATTTAGTCACTTTATTTTAGAGTAAGTGCCGGTTATAAAACAGTGTTCCCTATGATCCCATTTTTACTTACATACCATACACACACACACTAATACGCATGTATGAAAAATCAGGAAAGATAAATTCCAAAGCGTAATCCTTACCCTAAATGGAAATCTTAGTGAATGTGTTTCTTCTTTTTGCTCATTTATAGCTTTTTAATTTTTCCTACAATAAGCATCTGTTGCTAGTGGAATTAAAAAAGGAAAAAAGGAAAAAAACACTTTGAGATCATTTTCAAGCTTTCTGCGATGTCTATGCAAGTGGCTCCCGCCCACTGGTGGTGTTAATGGTAACAGGGGTTGTATCTGAAGTGGCACTTATTTTTGGAAGACACAGGGACAACTGAGTCACTCATTATATTTTAGGGAAAAGAATGCAACAAGAAACCCCAAATGAACAGGTGAAGATTTGCTAGGCAGATTTCTGTCTTGTCCCGAGTTTTTTGGGTCAAGCTATATGTATGTGCATGAGCTCAGATGGAACTTTCCTGAGCTGCCGAGGAGCTGAATTTAGCACTGGCTCACTTAGTGAGTCATCCAGCAGAGAAGGGCTCGTGTGTCCTGGGGCTTTGTGTATTCAAGCCACGTCTGATAAGCACACAGTGTTCCTAGAGCACACTGGGCTCCCCCGTCCCCATGTGGCTCAACACCAAGCACTTCTCAGAGTACCACCAGCCGCCACATTGCTCACTGGCAGACGCTGCCAGTGATAATGAATCACAGCTCATGGACAGGCTCATGCTCAGTGAAAACATGTCTATAATTGAAACTACATGCATGCTGGTCGTTGTGGACTTCTAGAGACCAACATTACCTTTCTTCAGGAAGATATTATTGTTCTGAATTGGTCATATGTCCCTCCCTTACCGTCCTGTGTACAGTAAGATACTGTTATGAGAGGCCGTCGCTTGTGACAGTCATCTTTGTGAGAATGATGGGAGGGGGCATTTGATAAAAGTATTGAACAATAAGTGCACAGTTCAATCAACAGCGTGTTCAGCGTCAAGCTTGGGTGGTTTAAAAGAAAGATTACGGGCTTGACATCTGTAGGGTGTTATACATAAGGGAGGAATGATTCAGAGCCTCTCAGAGCCTCTGTTTCCTCATGTATAAAATGGGCACAAAGCAGATTCCCTCTTAGATTTGTTATGAGGATAAAGACACAACACATGTCAGTAGCAGCCTGGTCTATGGCAGGTGTTCAATACTCCCTTCCCTCTGGTCAGTTTCCAGGATTGTTGATGACAGTTAGTACAGACCAAACTTTACACAAATATCATACAAACTTTTTCCATAAAGGGACAGATGGTAAATATTTTAGGCTCTATGGGCCAGGAGGCAAAATTAAGGATATTATGTACATACATAACAAAGAGAAAACACATCTCCACCCATTTTTATCAAGTACATTAAGAATATAATCTTAATAGTAGATGACAATTTTTGTCCTTTTCTAATATAGATCTACTGAAGAAAGGAATTCTTTTTGCGGGGAGATACCACCACTTATCTGAGGTTCAAAGTTAGTGCTTTCTCTCATCAAACTGATTGCCAATGTTCATCTGTACAAGCTCTCAGCTTGCAGGCCATACAAACACAGGTGGCAGTCTGAATTTGGTTCACAGGCCATAGTTTCCCATTCCCTGCTGTAGAATGATTACTAATAATATCAGTCTCTGCTTGTGCTATAATGCTAATCATTAATGATGAGTCAGTAGAGGGCTACAATCTGGAGGGACGAGAAATAATTAAATCTTTAAACAAACAGGCACTTGGAAGCTGACAGAGTGCTTAGTCTTATTTGATCAAATGATTCTTTCAAGAACATCTCCCTTTGTGGCCGAAATCTGGAAAGCAGTAGGAAGAAATTATCAGGTCACACAAACTGACCACCTACGAAGAGAGATCAAGCATTGAATGATTATGAAAACTGTAACTCAAACAGATTTCCTCTGCTCTTGACCAAGTTAGAAATGGCTATGACAGTTTTTAGTGATGGTGTAGTTAGAGGAAGGGATTAAAATTTTGCATTTAGGGATCAGATGGTTTCTTCTTTTTGCCCTTTTACCCTGCTGAATGGCCAGAGCAGATTGATCTAGGTATATTACCCTTAGATGCTCAGTTGAAAACAGGACCAAAAGAATATGATGTTATATTCTCTGCCCAAGGGGAATACACTTTAGTGGAATGTTAATATGTAGTGGAACTTATCCAATGGAACAGAGGAGACCAGAGTGGGCATTAAGGTGAAGCAATGTGACAAGACATCCTTGATTATTGAGCTGGCAAGACAGGAATGTCTGTACTTCTGAACATTCAGGCGATGGATATGGAAAAGGGTTAAACTGCATAAACAGGAAAGGACTAACGTGTGTGGGAGAGGATTCAAGCAGGCAAGATAGCTCTTTACCATTTCTGGGATAGAAAGAGGGGAACCACCAGGCTCGGCGGCTCAGCCTGTAATCCCGCACCTTTGGGAGGCCGAGGTGAGTGGATTGCCTGAGCCCGTGGGTTCGAGACCCGCCTGGGCAACTTGGCGAGACCTCATCTCTACAGTAAATCAAAAATTAGCCAGGCGTGGTAGCGCGAACCTGTAGTTCCAGCTACTTGGAAGGCTGAGGCGGAAGGATCGCCGGAGCCCAGCAGGTTGAGGCTGCGGTGGCCGGGAGCGGCCACTGCACTCCAATCTGGGCGACAGAGTGAGACTCCAACTCAAAAAAAAGAAAAAAAAAGAAAGAAAGAGGGGAACCATCATTTGAAATTCACTGGAAGCTTGTAGGCGTCCACAGGGGCTGCCATGTCAGTAGGGTCGAAGAGACTTAGGGCAAGAATTTTCAGATTTGAGACAGTTGAAATGGGAAAGTGCTTACAACTGCTTGTAATTAATTCCTCCTTAGAAAAATAGCTGTTTTTGAGGCAGAAATATTTTAAAATATATTGTTTTAGCTGAAGAACAGTTTTTAGTCAATGAGCATTTAGCAAATGAGCCTTGATGAGGGGTTTAAAAATATTTCTTCTCAGAGCTGACGCTGACACATCTCTTCTCCGTGTGTGTCAAAGAACAAAGAGCAAATGTATTTTCTCTTAAGTGAAACCAACAAATTGGAATAAAAGACACAATTTTCTTAAGGATAAATGTCAAGAAGAAAAACTGAAGTATACTTCCAAGCAAAATTTATTAGATGTCTATTCAAGAAAAACACAATGACCTTTGCTTGTAAGAATTCAATGACCTGAAAGCCAGGTATGAATATTTTTTCTTTTAAAATCAGATACAGAGAGTAGAAATAGTAATTTTTCTTAAATATGACAGGCAACAGATATTGAAGTCTTTTCTTGTAAATGGCATCAAAGAGAATTATTCATTTACCAGCAAAACTGCATGCAGTTGACTTAATTTCAAACCCGAAGCCTTTAACATATAAAGCTGGCTGTGAACTTGACATAATCAAGGAAGTCTACTCAAAGATTTTTTTTACCTTCTTCCTAATGAAATTCCTCTGTAATCAGTATTTATGTACAGTTCAGTTTGGCTTCTAAGATCTTTTAAATTCATAAACTTTTGCATAAATGCTATCTGACAGAATTGCACCCTCAAGGGGTGCTTGTGATCTGTGAGATAAGAAAAGGATAATCTGCTAAAAGTGTTTTAGCTTAATTTAACTGCAGAATAAAGACCAAATTAGGAATTTCCCTGTTTTCTCAACAACTAAATAGTCTGTACAAAAAAAGAGCAAATGTATGTACAAAATTCTAGAGTCTACATACATTGTGAAAAGATCAATCACTGTCCACGAAGAAATGCCATAAAAAGTTTTCTATAAGGTGCTCAAGATCCAAAGATGAATAGTTCTTACGCAAAGTAATAAGAAATACAAAGCTAGTTCTCAGAGTAAGTGTACTTCAGGCACTGTTAACCATATTAAATCTTTCAGGTCCCAATATCATTTTGTTAATTTCTGCTTCAGGGCAGAAAATAAACCTGAATGATTTAACATTGTCTCTAAAAAGTGCCTAATTTATTCCTAGAAAATATTTTACACACACCAGGAAAATCAGGCTCAACATATTCCTGTCCTCAAATGTAGCCAGGATTCTGAGTTCCATAGATGAAAAATAATTATCATAGTAAAAATAATTGTATTGATCGTAATCCTTGCTAAAGCCAACCTTAACACCTGTGGTGCCTCTGTATTCTATTTCTATAAAATAATGTGTGGAATTTGATTACATTTCCATAAAATGTATAACATAGCATTTGGATCACATGTTGTCATACAATCTCAGATATGTATGTATACACACAGTGAAATCTTACCTACTAGTATTGCTTGCAGATACTTTCAAGTGTCTATGTTAGAATAATTCTTTGCACCTCTCACTAACACTGCATTTACTTAAACTTTATCAGATAAATAAAACACTAAGAGCTCATTGTTCATATGCTGATTATTACATTTTAATATAAAATAGCAATGCAACTTTACAACACAATAATTTTTTCCCATAGTCTAGCTAAACCTCTTGTATTGTCATGATTATTACCAGAGATTCTTATTCACTTACTGTTTGCACTTCTAAAAAGTGCAAAGAAAATTGCAGGAAAAGACTCCTATTTGAAAACTCACATTCAGTCACCAAAAGCACACTCATCCGAATGAACTACTCTTGTCTTAGAAGTTGTAATCACTGTGCATATTGCAACACATAAGTGCAGGCAAATAATAGCTGAAGTACAGTTGTCATATCGTGTAAACCAGGACACTAGGCAAACTTGTGAAAAGAAAATATACTGCCAGGCTAAGAATGTGAATATGCAAACCACAGCATTTCCTAATAAAAGACCTTCTGGTTGCCCAAGGAGAGAACATCTTCCAGAAATGCTGAAACAGGACATCTACTGGAGACTGGAGAGCCTCCTCGAGGCACTTTTTTTTTTTTTTTGCCTCAAATATTTTCCCATTTTAAAGTATCCTGACTTTCTTTCTGAACCCACATTTCGACTTTTCTAAATTGAGAGCAAAAAGCAGGGACTCGCACAGAGACCAGGCTGCTGGGTCTCCCCCAGGGTCACAGCGGCAGTTTCTTTGCTGGTGGTTTGGTGGCAGGTGGAGATGGTGATGGTGCGTTGGAAACTGTAAGGCATGACAAGGAGAGGCCTGTGGGATGTTCCAGGCAGGTTTATGTAGATGCGTTGCTGAAATGAGGCATAAATAGGGAGGGAGAGTGATTCATAGCCTCTTAACGTAGTTTCCCGGAAAAGTACCAAAGAACTTGGTTCTTCTTGAGGTTCCTGCAAATAGAAGCAACAGATGAAAGTGGGATATCAACAATGAAATATCAGTTCGCACACGTGAGCCTGAACACTTTCTGCAGACAAGGCTTCACTGACAGCAAGGCCTGAGGGGTTGGGGAAGAAAGGAGGATAGCTTGCTTAGAGACCGTGGAAGACAAAATAAGCCCTTGTGGCTGGCCTACCTGGCGTACTCACCGCCTTGGAAGCATAGATGATGTGCTTCCATTCTCAGGTTGAAGAGACACACCCAGCCTCTCCATCCAAAGGGAAGACAGGCCCGCGGAGGAGCTGGGAGTTGGAACCCAGCCACCAAGGCTGCTGAGCCAGAGTGCCAAGTAAGGAGTAAAGGCAAGGCTGGCTATGTGACAGGACACCTGGAAAATCACCAGGGCCAGAGCCGCCCACGGGCCAGAGGCCTGCTCAGCACAGGTGTGATGTGAGGTGCTCCCTGGGACATGGCTGCTGTTAACACAGCTTTATTATAGCATAGACAGTCATGATCAGTGCCACATCAGGCATTTAAAAACAGCACTTGGTGGCTCAGCCTGTCATCCCGCGCCGAGGCACGTGGATTGCCTGAGCCCGCGGGTACGAGACCCGCCTGGGCAACTTGGCGAGACCTCATCTCTACAATAAATCAAAAAATTAGCCTGGCGTGGTAGCGCACGCCTGTAGTTCCAGCTACTCGGAAGGCTGAGGCGGAAGGATCGCCGGAGCCCGGCGGGTCGAGGCTGCGGTGGCCGGGAGTGGCCACTGTGCTCCAGTCTGGGCGATGGAGTGAGACTCCAACTCAAAAAAAACAAAAAACAAAAAACAAAAAAACAAAAACCAAAACAGCACTTGGCTTTTCTAATTCAATACGTGGGGTAAAAGTGGCACTGCCAGAGTCCATAAAATATAGAAATTTTGAGGAATTGACAAGTTATTAAAGGTAAAAGAGGTCTAACCACAATTTGTGGGTGGGAGTTCCCTCCTTGGGCATGATTTCTAGTATGGCAAGTTAAACCAAATGCACAAAGTCATCATTATGATCAAATAATGTAATTCCTCGGAAACTTTCTGTAAAAGTTGGTGCACTAAATAAATCTGTCTTTCCAGCACAGTTAGGGTGCATGGGGTCTCTGAAGTTTCAGCTCTCATTTACACTCTGGAACTTGGTCTCCCTTGGTGACTGTTTTCTTTTCTCCCTGGGTCAGTAAGCCATTTCTAGGTGAGAATGAATGGAAATAGAATCAGAGGCTTGTGGCTGCATCGTGGCCTCGGTTCTTTCCTGACTTCAACCACGGATGGATGTGTCGAGAGAAAGCCCGTGTTCCTGCACCCTCTTCTCTGTGCCACTCTCCGGTGCCTGTATGTCTTTTTTTTTTGAGTTGGAGTCTCACTCTGTCGCCCAGACTGGAGTGCATTGCTTGCTCCCGGCCACCGCAGCCTTGACCTGCTGGGCTCCGGCGATCCTTCCGCCTCAGCCTTCCCAGTAGCCAGAATTACAGGCACGCGCTACCACGCCCGGCTGATTTTTTGATTTATTGTAGAGATGAGGTCTCGCCGCCCAGGCGGGTCTCGAACCCGCGGGCTCAGGCAATCCGCTCACCTCAGCCTCCCAAGGTGCATCGGGATGACAGGCTGAGCCACCGAGCCCGGCTGTGTCTTTTTTATTTCTGTCTCCTATGTCTCAAGGTATGATACTTTTGTCTACAAACGTTTTCTCTGAAAACCTCTTGTCTTCTTTTAAGATGGTAAGAATAGGATTGCTTTTTAAGTGGGAAGAGTAGAACTTTCTGGTTCTGTTACGAAGTAAAGCTAGGATGAGTCCTTGAACTTTTAGGGTACCTACGCAGACCCAGTAAATGGGTGAGCTGTTCACTTAATCTCTCTCCCTCTCAAATTAGAGCCTCACTGCTGACAACTAGCATTTCCCACTGAACAGAGCATTGATATTTCTCATCTGGGGCCGTTTTTTGTTGTGCTGCTGTTGTTTGTTCTTAGATCTCAATCTTTCCTGGTTGGTGCTATTCAAAGAAATGTTTTTCTCTCAGTTAAGTTGGAAATAAAGCTAGCAGAGAATCACTTATATCCAAAGCAGTAAATATTAAACTATATTAAAAGTGCAGGAGCCTTGGGATTACATTGTGCAAATGAATGTATGAAGGATCAAAGGCATTATGAATTCCAAGAAAGCTTGCAGCAAACCATGCAAGTGAGCAAACTCAAGCAAATTACAAAATAGTCAAATGGGTCTAAAAAAGTGTACACATACCCACAAACCATCCATCATCACACTTTTCCATCACATCAATGACATCACTTTCTCTGAGCTCCAGTTCATCTTCGTTCCTAGGAGTATAGTTATACAGAGCCTGAAACCTTAAACAGGACAAATGGCCGTGTTTAAAGGAAATCTTCACATCTTTGTGAAACCATAGAAGACAGTACAGTATTAGTTTACCTTTAGCATTTCTATGAACATATCATATTGGCTAGTATAAATCTGGTAAACATGTAAAGTAAGGAGCAATATCTAGACTTTCACAGGAACCAGACAACCCTAATAACATTTTGAAACTCACAATGAGGAATATTTATGAATAATTGTAATTTTCATGAATCATATTAAAATATTTTTAACATTTATAAGTCAGATCTGCATTTCAATTGTCCAGCCATATGTTTATCATTCAGATATTAAATAATAGTACAGAATATGAAGTGTGATATTTACGTTATTTAGCTATATAAAAACAAGAAGGAATCACAGTTTTCGCTAGCCACAATCAGATGCAAATAATTGAGGCCTGAAAATTGAATGTTCAAATGGTTCTAAATTGAGGCATATAAAATATCTCAGATACATGTCTTTCAAAGTATGATACAGAGATTATTATAAAAGTAAACACTATTTTTCTATCAAGAGGAATTCTTTAAATCAGTTTAGTTTTATAGTTTGAATCAGTGTTTTCTGACAATTTAGAAGTTGAAAAGCTACAGCAATTCACTTGTGAAATTGAGTGGATGTATTCTGTGCTCAGTTATTACTGAGTCAATTTCAAATAGTAGATTATGGACATAAGTCCCTTTTAAAATGAGTTATGGAAAAATCGTGTTTGATTTTAAAGCTATCGCTTGAAATACTTTTATATGAGGAAGAACTACTGATAGAATACTACCACTTTTCCTCCCCTGCCTGAATTCTTTGAGCGCTTACACTGACATTGATCTGCAATGCACTCAGACACTGAACTTGTAGTAATAAAGTAATATACATTATAATGCATATCAATGTGAACTGTCATTTTGTAAAGTGAAGACAGAAATTATAGCAGCTGAGATCAAGAAGAATTTGGTATGCAGCTGAGAATTTGATATAGCAGCTGAGGTAAGGAAGAATTTGGTATGCAGTTAACATGAAAACTCTATAATATTACTAAAATATTACTAGTGCTGTGAAGAGGATTTTAAAAAAAATCAGTAAATTTGTTTCTCCTGCTTTTTGTAGCAGTCATGTAATTCTGCTAATGTAAACAAAAAACAACCAAATTCTAGGACTCTTTAGATTTTAAAATGCAGAAGTTTAAAAGTTGGCAGTATTGAATACTACTCCAGAACAAGAATGATTTATTTCTAATAACTTGATTGAGTCAGATAATCATGTTTTGGTAGAACAGAAACTATCACTGTCACTTGAGCTCAAATATCACGTCATAAGAAAGGAACACTGCTCTGCTGGCTTTCCCCTCTGTGGACTTTTTCAGATTGAAGGACCTGGATAAAACTGGCTTCAAAGGGGTCTGGGAAAGAGCTGGTAAGATACAGTGCCTGACACTCCTCCTGGAAAATATTGCCTTCCCTGGCTTGGTACTAAAGCCTTAAATCCCAACATTAGAGATTTCTTTCCCTGTTAATATTTCAAACCTTTTAAAGCCACTGATATTCTTTTGAGAATGTGCTTCTGAGGTCTTTTGTTGAGAGAGAGGATTCGGATTGTGGGCAAGGGCAGAGAAAGGCAGCTGGAATCCCAGAGCAACGGCAAAGACAGGGAGGTGTTGCCCTCAAACATGATCTGATTTTGCCGTTTGCATGGGGTCGGCTTTAGTGGGAGTAGTCACATTATTTTGTTGTTTGTGTTATGGATTTGGTTTTGAGGCTGCTCAGGTGACGGGATGATCAGTCGATTCCCATAAGGTCCCTTTTCCAATTTCACACTGGAGATAGACAGCCATTCCTGGGCTGGGAGTTTTGTGGCTATATGCAGCTCTCTTGCTTTGGGGAGACCGATTCTCAGCCCTGAACCTCCGCCCAGGCATTTCTCCAACCACTGATGGAGACAGGCCTATTTAAGGCCAAAAACCCAGCTGCTGGAAGACTCTCCTGGTCCCCAGAGCTAAAAGACCAAAATTGGCAAGGACTCCTACCTCATTTTGTATGACGAAAGCCAGCATGTTTGTCAAGATGTACTTACCATCCTGGTTTAATTAGATCACACAAAAAATGTTTTGTGGAAACATAAACAAACCATCCGGAAATCCTCCGACCTCTGCTGGCTTTCAAAAGCAGTGTTGCGTGACAGGAAATGCAGCTGAATTGCAACAACAAAAAAATGCTGATTTGAAAGATGTGCTGGTGAGATGAAGGATGGTGGTGGGGTCAGGATGCTTCAAGATGAAATGTCTCTCTTGAAGAGGAAATGCTGAGCCAAACTGGAAGCCCTCTCTGTGACGTGCAACTTTCTCTAGGCCATATTTCACCAAAGCTCTGAACTGTTGTAACAGAACTTCATGTTCCTTCTTTCACTCAGAATCAACTTTTTCAATGAAAGATTAAACGACACCCTATATTCCTGCTAATTCAGGCGGTAATCAAATGGAAATTCAATCAAGAGTGTTTTCTCACATCCAAAGCAGGACTTTGAAAACGTGCCTTCTAGCCGGGCTCGGTGGCTCGGCCTGTCATCCTGCGCCTTTGGGAGGCTGAGGTGAGTGGACTGCCTGAGCCCGCAGGTTCGAGACCCGCCTGGGCAGCGAGACCTCATCTCTACAGTAAATCAAAAATCAGCCGGGCGTGGTAGCGCGCGCCTGTAATTCCGGCTCCTCGGAAGGCTGAGGCGGGAGGATGGCCGGAGCCCAGCGGGTCGAGGCTGCGGTGGCCGGGAGCAGCCACTGCCCTCCAGTCTGGGTGACAGAGTGAGACTCCAACTCAAAAAAAAAAAAAAAAAAAAAAAGAAAAAAAATAGAAAATGTGCCTTCTTCCATGTGTGAGCGCTGTGGCTCCCTAACCATTATATGCCACGGTTGGAAGAATGAACTCCAAATTACATTAGCATGTAACATAACAGACTTTTTCATTCATAAACTCCAAAGCTGTTTATAATATGTAGGTAATGCAACCCTGGAGTGTACTTTTTTGTAACGTAACTCTATCACTGCTTACATAAAAAGAAGACAAACACTTAACAAGCCATCTTTAATGTTTTACAATGAAGTATAACTGGAGTCTGTTCTTTCCATGACACAGACTTCCCCTCGATCAAAGCCCTGTTCTGGCTGTGCTCCGTGAGAGCCATCCTCAGCAAGAGGAACCTTTGCTACCTTTCAGGTCTTTGAGGAGTGAGGGGGGACTAGAGGGTGGTGAAGGTCCAGGCCACACACCAGGACCTATCACGAGCAGCAGTCTCTTGTTTGCCTGTTCTGCTCCAGGTGCAGAGCTTGGGCCATGGGGCTGGGACTCACCGTGTGTGTTCAGGTGTGCTGGGCAAAGCCTAAGTCCGTAACATGCCTTTCCGGGGGTCCTGCTGTCCACAAAAGAGGCAGTGGCCAGCAGGAAGTAGAGAACCCTGAACAGCTGTCATGGGTAATATGGCCGAAAAAGACACACAAGGAGTATCTTACCAACAACGTGTCACACCTTCAAGTTCATTTATTGCATGTATTAGAAAGGGGAGGGAGTTTGATAGGAAAGGTTCAAAGGCATTTTCCTGGTGCTGCGGCAGTACCAGGATGTAACTGAGTGCCAGGGAGTGTTCTCCTGCCACCATTTTCTGAAGACCCTTCTATGTCACTTTGGAAGTATGTTATTAACGTCACTTTAGGTCTATTTGTGCATCTAGGTCCACGTTCACAGTCTCCAAATAGGTGCAAAAACAACATTAGAGCATTTTCGTATGTCTTTAAAGCTGTAGCTACTAGTTACATGGCCAGCAGGGTAGACAGGCAGATAGACTTAGAAATCTTAGAAATCACTGCAGCCTCGGAAGGTTTTCCTAGGGTATCATTTAAAACCTTTTCAGAAAACCATGTGGCTCTCCTTAAAATTAGCTTCTGATCCTTGTCATGAAAGATAGAGATGATTGCAGTTTCTCTTCACGTAGGAGGTCTCGTGTTAGTTACTCTGATCTCTCACTTGCAAAGTTGTACCATGTTACGTTTTGGTACAATTGTCCACTTTGTGGGTCAAGGTTAGTCTTGAATTTAGAAGATAAGAAGAATACTTACGGTTCCCCCCCACCTTGAATGTTTTCATGAGTAAACACAGGACGCTGTGGCTGAAATGAAATGATTTTCAATGTAATCAATGTTTAAATTGGTAATAATTAAAAGATAATTTGGATAATGGCATGGTATTTTTTCTTGACATTTAATATTTCCTGTTGTAAAAAACCAAGAGGAAGAAAAAAAAAAAGGACTTCTGTAAGACTAATAATTAAAATATTTTTAAGGATGCTTTAAATAAATCAAAATAACCAGGGTCCAAATGTTTTGAACATATCTACAATCTAGGCTGCTCAGGCTTAATGGAAAAGTCGGGGTTCAGTCCCATTGATTTTTCAAAGGTCAGTAATATGGCAAGAACATAGACAGCAAACCAATAGAATAAGAAGTAGAGACACCTTCATTCAACCTTATTCTTCAGCGGTTTCTCAAACAAGCAGAAAATAAACAACATTCAGTTTAACAGCAAAGTATCCACATTCATTCTTTAAATTTTTCCTTCACAGACAGTGTTTTCACATACAGTACAGATGAAAATATCAATAGGCAGACATCCCATGCTACATTTGAACTAACATTCTCTGTTCTCCATGTGGAGAAAACACATGCATGTGTAAAAAGAGAAAACAGAGAACTTTGGAATGCAACAAACAATATCCAGGTAACATGTAACATTTTACCTTAGAAGAGAAACATTGGTAGAAATTCCCAGTGCACTGAACTCTCAAAAGAGTTTCCTTTCTTTTTAAACTAAGCATCAAGACCAGTATCTGTAATAGATACTTATAATATTGGAAATGACAAACCTTAGCACCCCATATACCCACATTAATACTTCAATGAAGAAAGTTAACATGTTTGTCGAATATATGAACTCAGTGTAATTTATATTGACTACCTAAACATTACCTTTTAGGGCAAAAATGCATATAATTCATTCACAACACATTTCAAAAGCATTCTTTTCTAAATGACAGCTACATGGTAAATAACAAGATCAGAATTTGCATGGCAATGATATAAAACTCTTTGGTAACTACTGAATTCGTTATTAGATCTATGTCCTTAGACATCAAGGCCAGTTCTTGGGTTCCCATAGTTATGAGTGGATTACTGATAGGCTGGAAATTTTGTCCTGAAAGTTGTCCATGGAAACTTCACTGGTCCGAGCTTAAATGAGAAACTCCTTTCCTCTTCCTAAGTTCTTTATCCACATCCTTTCTATCCAAGCTGTCTATCTAACATAAGACTTGGTACTTACTTTACTAAAACTTTAAACCTTGAGTTTATTACCTGGAAGCATTTACTAACAGTATTCTTGGAAATTTCACTCAACCATCTGTGCATGGAATACTAAAGAGAGCAGGTAAGAATTACCGGACACATGTATGACTGAAGAGCATGAAATAATTTACTTCCATAAATCAATATAAGATGATAATTATTAGCAAATAATACAATAATAGTTTATTACAAATAAATATTCTAATCCTTTGTTAATTGCTAATTAATTTGTTATTAAATAAGTACTATAATTAATAATACTAATAATTAAATGAATGTTAATAATTAAATAATTATTTGTTGTCATATAATTGCTGCTATTAAATTTATAAAATATATTATTTTAAGAACAATTAGGACTAAACCATTTTCCAGTCATTTTAAAGGTCATTTAAAAGATATCATTACATCAATTTAAGTACATAAAAGTGGTAATTCTAAGTCATTGATAAGCCTATATCCTATTACATATATTCAAGTTCTCTTCCAATCCAATAAACCTTTAGATATGTATTCAACTTTTATTCAGGAGATTTGTATATATCAATTGCTATTAATACTATTTTGTAATAATTTTCTAGTCATCTTTTCTGTCTTTTTTTCATTTTAAATGAGTGCCGAATAATGTTTCCTCATAATGTATCTATACATCAGTTTTCTTAACTGTTTCTCCTTCTTGTTTTTGAGGTTTTATTGGTCTAGTCTTTTTCCACTATCATAAATTATAATGATATAAACTTTTTTTTACCAAGAGCTATTTTCTTCTTTTGAACTATTGCTCAGAATACATTCCCAGGAGTAAAATTCTGGTCAAGGATATGCATTAAAGATTTAGAAAATGTTCATGTTAGTCACTCAAAAATATTGTGTACATTAAAGTAACTTAAAAATGATCTAATATACTGTATTTCCTATCACATACCAAGATAGTTACTGTTTTCTCACAAAACAATCACAGCACCATTTGTAGTGCATAACCAAGTTAAAAGTAAAAAATTATGCATTCTTCTCCTAAGATAAAATAGTTTATTAAAATCTGCTTCGTTATGCTCTAAAAATAATGTGCCTGTTCCTACATATTTAAATTATTCTAATATTTTAAAATTGAATACAAGTTTTAACTTCTACATCATAGCATCCAATGCTTGGTAAGATTGGTTGGCATCATTTCATTGTTGCCTTATGTTAAGATGTGAATACAACATTAAAAATCAAATTGTTCATGAATATAATACAATCTACATTTTAAGTCTGAATATCCCCTTTTGGTTATCATTATTATTGTTCTACTAGTTTAATTCTTTTAATTCAGCCCACCTCATAAATCATTTAAATAACTGTCTTTCTGACAACTATAACAATTGGGCTGTTGCTTCCAGTGTGTGGCTCCCTGAATACCACAGGCCTCTGTGTCTCCAGAACTTGTATTCTTGGGTGGGGCAGCCTGCAGTGTCCTTCTTTGATCCGTCTTTCCTAATACGTCTTTTCCCTGCATTCATATCCTTCCAACTCCGTGCCTCTTGTACTCTCTGAAGCATCAGTATTCTATCCTATTCACATCACCAGGATGGAATTTATCCAGACTTTTATATTCAGAAAAGGTGTGTATCTTTTATAATGGTGAACTTTAGAACTTTTTGAATCTTACATTAACTAGGATTCACCTCTGTGGATAGGTAAGAGTCAGTTTTTAGTGAAGTTGGCCAATTACAGTATTTAAATGAATTCATTTTATGAATATTTGACCAACAGAGGAGTAAGTAGCATTAATAGTATGTACAAGGCCACATTTGTGTCTTTCTGTTTTTGGCAGTCACTACTATACAACTTTGGGGATGCCTCTCAGCTTCCCTGTCTCTAAAACTGGTGAGTCAGACAAAATGACAACTAGCCTGGCCCCCTCAGGGATACCATGAAGGCATTCACATTTCTACAGATATATTTCCTCTGCTATGTAAGGGTGCCACTATTAACCTCACACGTCCAGTTGTCAGTGAGCGATGACATCTTATATTGATTGGTTAATTTTCACGAGTCTTGGTAATTTACAAACAATAATGGTCATAATTCAACTTCATTTTGCAGATAAGCAAACCAAAACCCAAAGATATTGGACAATTACCTAATATTGCAAACAGTTTTTTTTAAAGAAAAATACAATGATAATTTTTATCCGCATGAATAGATGGCCTAACTTGGTTAACATCAGTGTGTTTATTTTGTCCCTCAAGTAGCTGCTTATGTTCTATATTCAAGCAAATTATCTCAGCAGGCCATCTTTTGCCTTTTCTCACGTGTTGTAACTCAACACGCACGGACCTTAAGAAAAGATTTGGGACATGTCTGCACTCTGTGTCCATCTGGTGGTGAGTAGCGGCAGCAACAAGCTAAGAGTTGTTTTTGCTTTTGGTTAGCCCTCACCAAGTTCCTTCAGCCTGGATTAATTTTGAAAGGATGTTTTAAAGAACACAGAGCGACGTACGATAGATATTCATCTGTTTTTCTGGTCACTTTCTTCCCTTTACATATTTTAAATTATTGAGAAGGAATCACTCGTTAGCCACCTATATTTTTGGTCTGTGTTCATTTCTATTTTAACTGTCTGCTCAGACATTTCTATTACTCATAGCTTCTTAGCAGTTTTGAGATAAATAGAAAACAATATCCATTTGTGACATTCAGGGAGACTTACATGAACTGTGAACTTAAGAAGATGGTTTGCAAGCTAACACATTACAGTCGCTGTGCTGGAAATTATATACATGTGTTTATTTTAAAGGTGTGGGGTACAATTCAGGATTAGGTATACAAGTGGTCATCATACAGGTAAAGTTTGGGCCTCCCTTTGGTCCCCACTTTGCCTGATTTGAGATCAGGTACCCTTACTGATGTTGTGGTTCTCCCCTCCTCAACCCTGGCAGTATTCCACTACTGCCAATCCCTTTCTTATAGTATTATGGTAAATGTTCAGGGACTGTTTATGAACTTATGGTACCCTGTTCTTTGTTTCTGTGATAGAGCAGTGAGTATTATAGACTCTAAATCCATCCAAACTGGAAATTTTGAGCAAGAATTATGTCATATGCTAATTTCCTCGGTTATATTAAGAGTACTGTAAAATTAGAAAATTCAGTGAAGCATCCTGCTGTATTCACGGTATCCTAAATATTTAACTTTTTCCTTAGCAATTTTTTTCTCTTTTAGTGTACCTATTTTTTTAATGCTGTCAAAAATTGATACAAAACGGATTTTAAACACATGCTAATTTTCAAAGCTAGAACCAACTACCAGCTACTGTTCATAAGGAAGTTAGCTTAAGATAGCACAGAATTTCTGATATCAGTATATACCTCCCTAAATTAGATGAGGTACATTGTGTCTAAAAGCTATTTATCTAAGCTTCTGCAATGGTATCGCTAGCGGATTAGCTATATTTAGTATGGGATAATTTTTAAATAGGGATTGTTACTTAAATTCTAATGCAGAAAAATCCTTGAAAACATTATAAACAGTTCAAAAGTTCTTAATTTTTTTCATGATATGTTAGTTGTACTACTTGCCAACCATGTTTATGTTTATAGGTTTATTTTTCCTTCTTAAATTATAAAGGTAAAAGGCAACTTTGCATAAATTTTTTAAAAATAGAATATTTATGGTCCACACAAGCACATGTAAAATAACATACACATACATAATGTAAAAATCTGGCAAAGAAAAAAACTTAAGGTGACCCAAAGCATACATCTCATTGACCCATGGGGAATTTATG